CGTGGGGAGGCTGGCAGGCAGTCCAGATCGAATACCGGGGCAGGTCTCCTGTCGGTCGGTGCCCGGGAAGGCCTCTGAAAGGTGACATTTCAGCTGGTTCCTGCAGGGATGGGAGCGAGCAGCCGCCTGGAGAGCGGGCTCACCGACGGTCGGACGCGTGGAGGCGTGGTGCCTGGGTGCAGCACTTTGAGTCCTCACCGCCCCCGTTTGGGAAATTAGTTCTGTGAGCGCCCGTTGTCGCCGAAGCCAACTTCTCTAATTCTCCCAGGGCCTTCAGTTTCTTCCCTGCAAGCGAAGCTTCCTTGGGGATCGGACTGGAGTCTGGGTCCAGCCTTTTTAGGGGACGCGGGGTAAATAAATGAGTAGGAGGGGAGAAAGGAAGGAAGCGGCTCAGGAAAGGGGGTGTGGAAGCAGGAGCATGGATGGGAGAAGGAAAAGGGTAGGCAGGCAGGGGAGAGGGCTGAGAGCGGTTATAGTGGATCCTGTTGATGAACTGGCTCCGATGTCCCTTTCCCGTGTTTCCTAGTGTTCTCAGTGCTTCAGGCTGATTGGCTTTCGTTTGATTACATTGTATTCACCACCACCTAGCGAAGTGCCCAGGACACAGAGGCATTCAGTGCATTTTTGGAATGAATAATAGCAGTAGAGCAGGTCAGCGAGACCCTCAGCGGGGCCTCTCAAAGGGGCATTTCCTTCGTGGAGTCACTACAGCTAAGGACTTGCTTTGCTGGGTCTTGCTTTTCACCTAGTGTCCAAGTACCTTGATTTTGGTCAGATGTAAAGGTGTTTTTTTTTTTTTGTTTTTTTTAACAATTCAGGGCCTTACTTATTTTAATCAAACTCACAAGCAAAAAGGCACTGCTATATACAGCCAAGTACCAGTTGAATACTTTACAGGGGGATTGGGGTGGGGCTACTCCTTGCAAACGATTGGATTGCTTGTGTTTGCTCTACTGGGCATGGTATTCTCAATGTTAGGGTGCCAAGGAAACGGAAATTAAAAATTACTGGGAATTCTAAAGAACTTTTGTGTATGTGGGTTACAGGTAGCAATATTTACTATATGTGAAAGTAAAAGAAAATTTTAAACCAAGAATACGCAGACATTCCATTGGCCGTCAGAGTGATAACCTCATTTATCAGATAGCCTCTGGAAAACTCCACTGTACACTTGGGAGAGACCGAGAGTGAAAAAGATAAATAACATCTTGGTTTTGAACTCACGGAATCCCTGAAAGGGTCTCGGAGGTACTTTTCCCCACACCCTTAAACTGGGCGACACTATGAGAATGGATTATGTAAATAATTAAGATAAAGTTTGATGTATTCTTAATAGTGATTGATTATCGTGGCACTATTGAGAAGGAAGCGGCTAACACTCCCTGAAGTGGTCAGGGAGGCTTCATTCAGAAATTCTCATTGAAACCTGTGCTCTGCTAGATGCCTCTCAGAGGAGGTCACATACAGACCGGTCATGAAGGATCAATAGGAATATGCCAAGAGAACTTTCCAGGCTGAGGAGTAATAACTGTAAAGGCACCAGCGATCGACAAGTTGTTTAGGATGACTGGAGTGTAGGATACAAGGGTAGAAGTCAGGGCCAATGAGGTGCAGAGGCCAGAGGTCAACTTGTCTGGAATGCTTGTTTTCACCTCCAAGGTCTTTATTCTTTGGACAGTGTTAGGTAAAACGATAATTCCTCTTTGTGGGCTCCACGAGGCTAACAGATTCTTCCCGTAGGTACATGAGGCGGACTGGGTGTCTCCCCTCATTAGAATTGTGTGTTTGGGGAGGTGATAGGTTTTATCCCTGCAGTGGATGGTGTTTCCTTTGTATGTGACGGGCTGGCAGGTGTCAGCATATTCTTTTACTAACATTTATTGAGTACTCTTTGGTGAAATATAATAAAGTTTTGGTAACATTAGAAATGGTTGACAGTCTTCACTCTCTATTCCGGTCGGATTACAACATTGAGTAGCCTGAGAGAGCATCTTGCTCTGGAGGCATGTTCATTGTTGATGGTGTGGTATCGTGGCACTCTGGAACCTCCAGTCCTTGGGGATAAATTAGCTGGTATCCTCTGAGTCTAATGTTTCCGTTAGTTTAGTCAGTTTAGCAGAGATTAATTAGGGAGCTATTTATGGGGTTTTGTAATGCATCATGGGCCACCTTCAGATTTGTTATGTTGTTTGAAGGTGGACCCACATAAATTGGATTCAATTTCAAAACAAAAGAGACATTTTAACTTGGATGTTGTCCTGAAAAACATCATTGGCTATAGGGTGAAAAGAACCTCTAATTGGATTAGGCAGTACAAACAACATTAGCATCTCTCTGAGCTATATATATCCAGTTACATCTTACTAAATGTAGCATAAATTACATAACTAATTAGTAGTGTTCTAAAATTAAAACATTGAAGAATCACTAATTTAAGCCATTTATCTCTGTCCCAAAACAAGTTGTTTTATTTTTTATTTTGTTTTTAGCACTGTAGGATCTTGGTGATGGAAGGGCATTTACACGCCATCTTGCTTGCCTATTAGTTACCTGCATTGCCGGTGCAGCAGCCTCAGCTTTTGTTGCGGGCACAGTGGTAGTCAGCCCTGGTGGCACAATAGAATCACCTGGGGAACTTTGGAAAAAATAAGTGTCTGGGCTCTCCCCTAGATCAGCAATACCAGAATCTCGGGCAGTGCAGCCTAGTTACTGACGATTTTTGAAAAGGTCCACAGGTGATTCTTGCGTGCAGTCATAATTAAAAGCCAATTATTGATTAGAGTCTAGAGCAGCCGTGGGCAAACTACGGCCCGCGGGCCGGATCCAGCCGTTTGAAATGAATAAAACTAAAAAAAAAAGCCTGTACCCTTTTATGTAATGATGTTTACTTTGAATTTATATTAGTTCACACAAACACTCCATCCATGCTTTTGTTCCGGCCTCCGGTCCAGTTTAAGAACCCATTGTGGCCCTCGAGTCAAAAAGTTTGCCCACCCCTGAAGAGATTCTAGACCAGCCTTCTTTAGCCTAAACATTAGTCATTGTGTATGTTCTTCTTCTTATGCATTTTAAAACCACATCATTTTACCTGAACATGTCTCTTAAAATGCAGTAATTAGAATGGTACCCAATATTCTAGCTGATCTCAAAGAATGGAACCTGTCCCCCTCCTTTTTCTGAACCTGGGCTAGTATTACTGCAGCCTAGGAGCCCATTAATTTTTTGATGTCTGTCTTACAAGAGTGGCCCATGCTAAATTATCAAGCCCTTAAAACCCTTACTACTTTGTGTACTTGGTTTTTTTGTGAACTCAAATACAAGACATACACACACACACACACACACACACACACACACACACACACACACACACACGTATATATCCCTGTAGCACAGTCGTTCTTAAGTGGGGATGATTTTGGTCCCCGGGCGAATGTTTGGCAATGTCTGGAGACATTTTTGTTCGTCACAACTGGCAGGGAGGAAGGTGATGGTGGTGGTGCTACTGGTTGGTAGAGGCCAAGGATACTCCTAATAAACATTCTGCAGTTAGCAGGACAGCCCCCACAGCAAAGAATTATCCCCAAATGTCAATAGTGTGGGGTTTAGAAGCCTGCTGTGGTGTGTGGGTGAGGGTGTGGACTCAGGAAACGGTGGGGTCTTCTGAGAGGTCCTTTGAGCAAGGACACTTCTCAGCGTGCTCGCACTGCGGGCTCCCTAAGGCAGTGGTGGCGAACCTATGACACGCATGCCAGAGGTGACAACGCATGTCAGAGGTGACACGCGAACTCATTTTTTTGGTTGATTTTCTTTGTTAAATGGCATTTAAATATATAAAATAGATATCAAAAATATAAGTCTTTGTTTTACTATGGTTGCAAATATCAAAAAATTTCTATATGTGACACGGCACCAGAGTTAAGTTAGGGTTTTTCACAATGCTGACACCCTGAGCTCAAAAGGTTCACCATCACTGCCCTAAGGGAACTCAGTTGCCTGTAGTGATTGTTCACATTTCCTGTGTCCTCACCTTGCAGCTGTCAGAAAAGGAAGTGATTTGTCTATCTTGATTTTAAATTTTGACTGTTTTGAGTGATCTCAGGAAAATTTGGTAAATATAGAAAAGTATATTAAAATAATATATAATTTAACATTTATTTGTAATTCTATTACCTAGGGGTAACTACAGCTGACATTTTGGTGGCTGGGTTTGAATTCTGGTCCATTATGTGACCTTGAGCGGGTTACCCTAGGGCAGCGGTTCTCAACCTGTGGGTCGAGACCCCTTTGGGGGTCGAATGACCCTTTCACAGGGGTCGCCTAAGACCATCGGAAAACACATACATAATTACATATTGTTTTTGTGATTAATCACTATGCTTTAATTATGTTCAATTTGTAACAATGAAAATACATCCTGCATATCAGATATTTACATTACGATTCATAACAGTAGCAAAATTACAGTTATGAAGTAGCAACAAAAATAATTTTATGGTTGGGGGTCACCGCAACATGAGGAACTGTATGAAAGGGTCGCGACATTAGGAAGGTTGAGAACCACTGCCCTAGGGGGATAGTACCTAGCTCAGCGTTGTGAAGACTAAGCACTTTCAATACCTGTAAAGTGTTTTCAGCAGTGCCCGGCACATTGTAAGAGATGTTTAATTTTCTTTGCATACATTTGTGTGTAGTGTGCAGATGAACACATTTGAGCTCATGCAATGTAGTTTTATACCTACTTTTTTGGCTTATATGGAGAACATGTGCCCATGTTACTAAAAGTACTTAGAAAGCATGTTACTTTTGTAAAACATTATGCATTTTGATATATTAAATATAAAAGAACCAAATACACAATTTTGGGCTAAGTGACACCTTTTAAGCTAGATCAAAGAATAGACCTAAAGGTTTAAGAAAAGTTTGAGAGAAAAGCTTAAAATTGAGACCGCTTTATTCATTAGCCTACTTCCCCCTCCCCCATGGTTGAACAGAGACTGCCATTGTTAGATTTCAGCAACAAGACACCTCATCTAGTATACAACTGCTGTGTTCCAGTCCCTTCTAGAATCTTGCCTCAGATTGATGCAAAGCTTCTTGGTTTTCAGTTTATAGAATCTGTCATCTTTAAATATTTCCTCCTCCCCTTGCAAAAAAAATAGTATGAATCCTTACACTTTTGAAGAGATGCCTGCCTCTGTATAACTTTCTATTGAAAGTTCATTTTTCTGAATTGAAAAACAAAAACTCCTTTCTCATATGCATTTGCGTCTGAAAGTCCTTCTGGAAGTGGTAAGCTTATATTTTGTAATTAGAGTGTCATGGGTTTTCATTTGGAAGAGGAAACAGTTTGCTGTGAAACTGGGCAACTGTTTGGCTTCAGAATTTTTTATTTCCTTAGTTTTAAGGATACCAGATTGTGTTTGTTTCTGAGTGTCTGGGCTCTGTGTTTGTGATAGAGTTTGGAATTTTAGGAACCTTTGAGGGGTTTGAAAGTAATGATAAATCTTAAAGTTTATTGCCAGCATTTTAATTTTAGAGACAAAACGAAGTGAAAATTGTGTTTAAAGTTTCCATTGAGCAGGACTAACAGGAGCATTGGGGCTCCCTGGGTGAGAAGTGAGCCCAGGAAGAGGGAAGTGTCATGGTGTAGTACGCCTATGCATTCATTGGCCAAGTACCTTAGACAGGATGCTGAGTTCAGTTGTTTGTGTTGGGAGTTTGACAAATTACTACCTTTTGGGGACTCTCTGTTAGGTGATTGACTAGTCAGCTGGGCAGCTGTAGTGAAACTTGTTTCAGGAAAGAGGCAGTAGAGACGCTTTATCATTTTGGAAGAGCATGGGAATCAGAGCCCTTGAGAAATGGCCTGTAGTGTCTGGACCCTGTCTTCTGGTGGTTAGTGTGTCACCAGCCTCACTTGTGGAAGCAGCTGAGGCCCAGGGATGTTTAATGACTTTCTTGAGTCGGCCAGCTGGTAACCAGGGAATAGAGTTCTTGTGTGTGCCTCTTATGGAGGTAATGTAGTTGGACATGTGCCCTAGTACTCTCAGTATCTGGGAAGAATCATGGAGTGTCAGATTAAGGCTTTCTCTTGTCTCTGCGTGGAGGATTTCCATGGATGGCCTGGCATGAAGCATTGTTGTTTTCGATGAACCAAATTAATTTTTAAAAGGTTGTGACCAACATTTTTGTTTTGATAGTAATTGCCTGTTCAGAGCTCTTGGTGATCAGTTGGAGGGACACTCACGAAATCATCTCCAGCACCGACAAGAGACCGTAGACTACATGATCAAGCAGCGGGAAGATTTTGAACCCTTTGTAGAAGATGACATTCCCTTTGAGAAGCATGGTAGGTTCCCCGTGGGACACTGGATCCTCCAGGAATAATACATTGGTAACTAAATCCATCAGCATCCCCCACCCTGCCAGCCAGGGATTTGGTTACATAAACTATGGCATGTATTCAACAAATATTATTTGTCTGCTCTGTAATAGGCAACATGCTAGGCAGTTGGGATTCAATAGGTTTAGATGACTATGCCCTTTATAACAAACTGCCCTTAAATTCCAGTTTATTGACTGGAAAAGCTGTTCATGACTTCTTATTCAATTGGGGGGGGCTGGGGGAAGTAGGCTGTAAAATAGATTGATCCTATTTTTAAAAGGTATACACACAGAAAAGCATACTAGAAAAATACTAACATTTTATGATTATTTAATCTTGGCTCCACTTATTTTTTACTCCCTTTAAACTTCTGTAAAGGGGAGATAATAATAGCACCTATTATAGGCTTTTTGATGAAGATTGAATGATATAATTAAAATAAGTTCTTAACTGTTTGTCATCTGGGGATGATGGGTCTGTGCATATTTTAAAGTATCTTCTATAGATATTTTGGATTTTAAATGATCCTATATTACTTTTTTTAAAACATTTTTTAAAAAATATATTTTATTCATTTTTTACAGAGAGGAAGGGAGAGAGACAGAGAGTTAGAAACATCAATGAGAGAGAAACATCAATCAGCTGCCTCCTGCACATCTCCCACTGGGGATGTGCCCGCAACCCAGGTACATGCCCTTGACCGGAATCGAACCTGGGACCTTTCAGTCCGCAGGCTGACGCCCTATCCACTGAGCCAAACCGGTTTCGGCCCTATATTACTTTTTAACCAGAAAAATTAATAAAGTCATTTTAATTTCTCACCCAAACCCCAAACACAACCTGTTTTCTTTGAGGCAAATTATTTAGTGATTTTAATTAGTTCCTTATAGGCACAAATCTAGTGAGAAAGTACATAGGAACTTTTAAACTTTAATTTGACAATTTTTACTGAGGATATTCTGTGCTAGGTGCTGATATATTTATGTTTTACAATAACATTTTTATCACAGAGTTCAGTCTTATCTGTCTGTTATCAGGAAAGAGAGAGAATATTCCCCGTGTGTTAGAGTGCTAACTCTGGGAACCATGTCAAGAAAGAACAGGGAGAGAGACTGAGAAGGGAGATGAGCTAGGAGCTCTCCGCATTGGCCGGATGAAAGAGTAAGAGGTTCTCCAAAAGGCAGCTGCTGGGGATGATGAGTGGGGTCCAGACCAAGATTCAACTGGTAGTATAATTGACAGGACTCACTGGAGGTGGAGAGAGAAGGCAAAAGTGATTCTGAAGATTCTGTTGGGGAATGACTAGGTAGAGGGCCATAGGAGGAAGTCATGGGGGGGGGCAGTTATCAGTGATTCATAACTCAAAAGGGAAGAACTCATTCACTAGGCACAGCAACAAAACTCCCACTGAGTAGTTGATAGTATTCACTGAGTTAATGGTCCCTCTCTCTGATCACTTTTTGTTTAGCACATAGGTACAGTTTACCAGATGGTCAGCAGTTTACAAATTAAATGCGGTATACGGGGCATGTTTTGTAGTTTAGCTCAATAAAATGAATTGTGTCATTGGTCCAATTAAAATATTTTTGATGAAGTGAGTTTTTAGTTTGTGACTTGGAATTCCACTTTGAACATCTTGAAGTGGTTGATTTGGAGGTATGACCGGGTAAGGGACTTGTGTCCAGTGTGGTAGTCACTTTAGATGTACAATGGGAGGTTGTTTTCTTAAAATGTCACTGTGTGTTCCTGATCGCTGGTTGGTGCTTCATAAAGAATTTGAGCTTTAAAAAAAAAAGAAAAGAATTTGAGCTTTAAAGCGAGGAGTGGCTCTGACTGCCCTGGCAGAAGTGGAAAGAAACCTAGATGTCTGCACATTATGTTTGTGTGCCAGGTGAAGACTAGGCTTATTACATTATCCCTCGTATCATAATTACGTGTTTTTAATGTCTGTCTACCTTGTTTCACTGAGATTCTTGAGGGCAGGGACTGTGACTCTTCCCCAGCCTGGTAATGGTAGGCACTCCTAAGATGTTTGTTGAATGAATAAATGAATGGCTTGCTTAACTTTTCAGGACATGGTTACCCTGCATCTGGCTGTATATTTTAGGATTATTCTTTTCCTTTAGACTGGCTTTGGGGAAGCAGCAACATGTTTTCTCCAATTGTACAAATATCCAGATCACAATCCTCAATGTTCTTAATGCTCCTCTCCCTCCCTCCTCGTACCCAGTCATTTTTTAAGTCTTGTTACCTCTACCTTGATATCTTTTCTCTCACTGCTACCATCTTGTAAAATCAGGCCTCTGTGGTCATTAGCCTAGATTTCTTCAATACTTTTTTAACTTGTCTCATTGCTACTTGACCCATTCAGTTTGGGGGTTTTTTTGCAGCTGGAGTAGTGACCTAAAAATAAATCTTTCACCTATCTACAACCCATTGGCTGCTCCCCATTGACCTCAGTCAGGGTAAAGGCCAAACTCTTGAGCCCTTTGCTATCTGTGATTTTCTTATTTCTCTATTCTCACCTCCCACCCTGCTGTCTTAGCATTCTAAATTTCTGCAAAACTGTGTAGTCCACAGACTCATGTATCTACCCCACTCATCTCTCCTCTCTCCTCTGCTTGGAACATCATTTCTCTTCTATCTCCTGTCATTTGGGAATTAGCTTAGTTGTCTTAAGTCAAGAAGCTTATCTGAAACACCTCACCACCCCCTCCCCACTACGAAACTGGCTTACGCTCCTGGACCTGGAGTTAGCCAAGCTGAAAGGTTTTAGGGCACAGTCTTTCCCAAGACTTCCCTCACTTCTGACACCAATTGAGTTTGGGGTTTCCTGAACCGGTCTCAGGCGCAATGATTTGCCATAAGGACTCACAGAACTCACTGAAGGCCCTTATACTCACAGGTATAGTTTATTATATGGCAAGATTATAGGTCAAAATTAGCCAAAGGGCAGAGTGGGAAGGTTCCAAACACAAAGCTTTTCTTGTCCTCAGGATGCATCCTCCTCCTGGCATCCATGTGTGATAGAGTATTGTCAGCCACGAAGGTCACCTGAACTTCGGTGTCCAGAGTTTTTATTGGCGTTTCATGGTGTGGGTTTGATTGATTGCCTAGCTCCCCAGTTTCCAGATCTGGATGACATCGCATGGTCAGAGTCACCTCATTAACTTAAATTGTCAGGTGTGACTGAGGAGCCCACTGTGAATAACAAAGACATTCCTATCACTTGGGAAATTTGAAGGGTTTAGAGCAGTGGTTCTCAACCTTCCTAATGCTGCGACACTTTAATACAGTTCCTCATGTTGTGACCCCCAATTTCATTGTTACAAATTGAACATAATTAAAGCATAGTGATAAATCACAAAAACAATATGTAATTATATATGTGTTTTCCGATGGTCTTAGGTGATCCCTGTGAAAGGGTCATTTGACCCCCAGAGGGGTCGCGACCCACAGGTTGAGAACCGCTGGTTTAGAGGTTATCTCTCAGGAGCCAGGGATAAAGGTGAGACCTTTCTTTGGGCAAGGCCGATTCTTTACCACACATCCTTTCCTATAGCAGTTACATGCTTCAGTAGCGCCTGTTTTCTTGCTTGCCCTCATTGGTTATAAACTTCTCAAGGGCAAACTGACAGGCTGTGTAATGGAGTCGCCAAAAGCCAGGATCTTGGCATCAGGATGCCTGGTATTGTGACCTGACTCTGTGCCTCATCTCTAAGATGGTGTGCGTGATAATGCCTGCCAGAGGATTGTTTTGAGGATTACTAGTAAAAGTGATAATCCATGAGCAGTAGCACAGTGCTTGACACATAATATGAATTCATTAATGCAAACTGTTATAATCACTGCTTATTGTTAAATTTCCCGGGTCTTTTATAGAGTGAGGCTTATAGGAAACATTCAGCAAATAGTTGTTGAAAGAGTAACTAAACGAATCCTTTCTTTAGAATGGTTGGTGCCCTTGTGAGTAGCACTGTGCATATGCTCAAACATCTGAGTTCCTAGACTCTGACAATGCGAATAGACTTTTTAGATGTCTACCCTTGTTTCTCATTATTTGGAACTAAGTACTAAAACATATTTGTGTTTGGATTTTTCCATTATGAAGACTTCATGTTTTTCTCTCTCCTATTTCCATGCAGTGGCCAGTTTGGCAAAGCCTGGTACATTTGCTGGCAATGATGCAATTGTAGCCTTTGCAAGAAATCATCAATTGAATGTGGTGATTCATCAACTTAATGCCCCTTTGTGGCAGGTAGGTCACCTATTCAAGAGTTTATCTGGCCCTGGCCAGTTTTGCTAAAGCGGTTAGTGGGTCAGCCCACACACTGAAAGGTCGTGGGTTCAATTCCCAGTGAAGGGCTTGTACCTGGGTTGCAGGTTCGATCCCTGGCCCTGGTTGGGGCGCATGTGGGAGGCAACCAATCTATGTGTCTCTCTCACATCACTGTTTTTATCTCTCTCTCTTCGTCCTCCTCCCTCCCTCTCTTCTTCTTTCTCTAAAACTCAATGGAAAAAATATCCTTGGTTGAGGATTAACAAAAACAAAACAAGAGTTTATCTGAAGTTCTTCATTATAACTTAGCTTTTGGGATGTCCTAAGACGATGAGGCATGACCTGTGCTATTGAACAGGGTAACTTGGATTGTGAGCCTAACCAAAGACCAGAAGCGTTTGGTGGCTTGGGATTACCCTGTGCCAAGTTCACATGGAGTCTGGAGTATAATTCAGAAACCTTTAAATGCCAGAAACATTATTCAACAGTCAGTTAACTGGGTAGTTTGGGGCAGAGAACCTAATGTGGAAATACTGTCTATAATTCTGTGAAATATCTAAGCGAGGTTTTAAAAGACTAGTACATACAAATTTAGTTTTGAAGTATGCCTAGTCCCTCAGGTATGTTTGTGTTTTTTAGGTGGAGGGACCCAGAAACCAAATTTACTGTACTAACCATTGCTAAAAAGGATGTTCTGAACAACAAAATTTATTTCATGGCCTAGGACAGTGGTCGGCAAATTGCGGCTTGCGAGCCACATGCGGCTCTTTGGCCCCTTGAGTGTGGCCACGAAGTTTCAATCGCACTGTATGTGGGCGCCCACACGTGGTATTTTGTGGAAGAGCCACACTCAAGGGGCCGCAGTTTGCCGACCACTGGCCTAGGATGTCAAGCTCCATTTCTCTCTGGTCTGCTCAGCTGTGTCTTTGGTCCCAGTGGTTTTCTACAGCAGATGAGATCGTACAGTAAATGTTCAGTTTGTGCTGTAGGATGGCAGAACACATTGTGGAGCAACTGAGTGAACTAGCTGTCCATTCCACTTTCTTTACCTTTGGTATTCTAAATTAGCTTGGCCTCCCAATCCATTAGACCAAACATTTTGTTTGGAAGGTCAGAGGTTAAGGAGAAAGTATATACAGGCCACCCCTTGCTCTTCCTCCTTTTGTTCAAAGTGCTTTCTGTACTTTGTAGCTCTCCTCCTGCAGACTGGGTGTGTGATTTCTATCAGTCCTCCCCCTCCATTGCTCCCCTGGGTCTAACTTTTTTTAATTAGGTAAAACATACTAAATGTAGACAAATTTGAAAATTCAGAAAAACTAACAAAGGCAAATAAAAATCAGCCAGAGTAACATTCCCTAGAGATGATTACTGTTAACATTTTAGTGTGTATCCCTGTCATTCACATATACTCTTAGCTATAAAAATATTCATATGGAAAGATATGTATCACAGTGTTTTATACACCTTTTAAACATATCTACACACATACAGACATGTCTATGTACACATACACTTATGTATCTCTATATATTATTATAAAGGCAACTGTGGCCTTTTTCTCACTTTTTCATAGACCACCAGCATATATTTTCCTTTGTAAGTTGTTTATTCATAGTCTTTGCTCATTAAAAATAAAGTGGAGTTTATAGAGATATAATTTACATAGAGCAAAATTAACCCTTTTTAGGCATACTTTTTTTTTTTTTTACAAAATAGTTATGTAACCATCACCACTGACAACACATAGAATAGCTCCATTACCCCCCAAAATTTCCTCATGCCCTTTTGAGTCACTAGTCCCCTCCCCATGTCCCCAACCCCAGTAACCACTAATCTGATTGGTCTGTTACAGTTTTGCTTTTCCAGAATGTTATCTAAATGGCTGTATATAGTCTTTGTGTCTGGCATAATGTCCTTTTAATAAAATTAAAGCAAAATGAATGAGATATTCCATGGGTTGGTGAGGGGTTTTACTGGGAGGGAAATGATGTGTGTGTGTCCTTTGGGGCAGTGTTGTCGGATGTACTGACACCAGGGAGAGATATGTTTTTAGTGAGGTGTTCTCTGAGGATGGTCTGTGAGCTAAGAGTTACCTTCTTCATTGTCCCAGTGTTTTGTCATTAAATTATTACTGTTCAGCAGAAGTCATCAAAATAATTTGAATATACAGCATAGTGACCCACTCTTGCAGGAAAGTACTCAGTGCCAGCTCAGTAACCATAGCCTGCTTTTTCTCCATTGATAACTTTATATTAGTTTCTTAATTATCTAAGTCGTGGAAGATAATTCTGCAGAGTTAGAATGTTTAAAAATACATTTCTGTAGAGTTTTCTTTCATGGATTGCTAAACATTGAAAGTATATATTTTTAAAATAAATGTATTTGTTGTATAATGGAACTATCCACTGGCTCTCTCCCCCGCCCCCATATACCTTCACCCCAATGAAGCATCTTATGAAATTTAAGAATTGAAATTGTTTTGATTGCTGCTGTCATGGGTAAGAACTCTTGCATTGAAATGGGTAGGCTCATACAACAGTGGAGATATGAACCCTACATTTCTTTCCTGGTTACAAATGGAATGTGTGCTTCTGTGAACAGTATAGATAGGTGTGATGTAGAAAATGAAAGTCTCTGTAATCTCCGTACTCATGAAAATTGTAGTCAACTATTTGGTGACCATTCTTCCTATTTTTTTTCCTATTCATAATGCGTATGTAGTAGTATTATTTAAATATGTAAGTACTTTAGGGATTATGTCATTCAGATATTCTAATATCGAGTTTCCTTTCCCAGTACTCTCCCTGGGAGATAAGTGATGCTGTCTCTATTTTGTACATGTGAAAAGCAGACCGTCTGTACTTTGAGACCTAAATGGTTTACCTGGAGAAAACTTCACGGTTCTAGCCTCTGGTCGCTTGTGGTTCCTGGTTGTTCCATGGTTCTTGCTGTGCTGTTAGATCACAACTAGTGTTAAAATGAGCAGTAGTGCCTGACTTTCAGGAAAAGACAAGGAAGTGCTAACATTTTAGAGTTTTAACAAGAAGGTAGTTACTGCTTTCTAAACAACAGATTCAGAATCACTTTAGAGTTTCTGTCAGGGGGAGTGTTTGGTGGGTACACCCAGGCTGAACCTTATGACATGACTCTGGGGAGTACTGTTCTTGCTGGGGAGTGGCCCAGGGGTGCTGTTCACTTAGACTATCTTGTGAGTAGTGCCTCCAGGGCTGTACAAGGAAGTAGTACCACTTGACTTTAAATAATGCTGTTTTGAACTTGATGTAAGTGGGAGATTTGAGTTGTTTGTGTTTCTCAGCATGTGGGTAATGGAAAATGCTATTTTTGTTGGAACGACGGGCAGATTTATTGTGAAGTAATGAAGCGTAAGTGGAAGGCCCCTCATTGTTATGGCCTCCTTTCTAGGTCTTGGGAAGGGCTGTGGCATTTCTCTATTTGTAATCTTGTATGTTTTTTCTCAAAGAGGGCCTCCAAATTGTTTGCACTTTAAGCCCAGCAAATTGGCTATGCCCGTAGGCCTTTCCTCTTGCAAGGGGCCTGTGCACCTGGAGAGGTACTGATGCCCTGAAACTTTAGCCAGTTTAACTTCACTGTGAGTCCGTCCCTGGTTGTTGAATGTGTGTTTCCATGTGGATTTATTTCCATATAGTTCCATACTAAGCACACTGAAGCATGTGTGCATGGGCGGGAGAAAGATAAGTCACAAGTTGCTCTGGGCATACTCAGTCTTGTTCCCAAGTCATTTCACATCGAGCCTGTAGACAGGGCTTCCTAGGTAGCATTTCTCTCCATGAGTTGACACCGACCAGATCCTCACTGGCATCTCCTTTCTCTTGCTTCCAGATTCGTGGTACAGATAAAAGCAGCGTGCGGGAGTTACACATCGCCTATCGGTACGGCGAACACTATGACAGCGTTCGGAGGATCAATGACAACTCGGAAGCTCCTGCTCATCTCCAGACTGATGTGAGTGAGGCCGCCGGGTTCTGTATTCTCAGCTCAGAAGGAACCAGGTTGAGGGCCGGGTGCCTGGAGCTAAAAACCAGTGATGTTTTTATGGAAAATTGCCTTTAAGAATGTGTGGGTTTGATTTGTTTTTACTTTTTTTAGCTCAGATGAGAGTGACAGATAAAATCACTTCCCATTCTTTTGCTTTCCTTAGTAGCTGATAGTTCTGATTCCATGGATAGAATTTATATAAAAATTTTAAATTACTTTTAGTTTTAAAATTAACCCATGCTTCTGGACCTGGAGATGATTATGCTAAGCGAAATAAGCCAGTTGGAGAAAGACAAGTATCACATGATCTCACTTATATGTGGAATCTAATGAACAAAATAAACTGACAAATAAAATAGGTCCACAGGCATGGATGCATGGAACAGAACAACAGATCTCAGGGGTCGGGGCGTGTGTGTGGGGGGACCGGAAGAGATTAACACTACTCTGCTATGAATATGTATAAAGTTGTTTCAGTGCCTGTTTTTAATCTTTTGGGTTTATACTAGGAGTGGACTCGCTGGTCATAAGGTAGATAATTCTATGTTAACTCTGTGAGGAACTGCCACCCGTTTTCCACAGTGGCTGCACTAGTTTACATTCCCACTAGCACTGTTCTGAGGGTTCCACTTTTTGCACATCTCCACCAATACTTACTTTTTTCTTTCTTTTAAAATTACGGCCATCCTGCAGGTGTGAAGCGGTACCTGTGGTTTGGATTTGCATTTCCTTAATGGCTAATGATGTTGAGCTTGGGAAGGGCTGTGCTGCTTGACCATTTGTATCTTTGGAGAAATGCCTTGTCAAGTCCTTTGCCCATATTCTAATTGGGTTATTTGTACTTTCGTTGTTGTTGAGTTGTAAGAGTTCTTTATATATTCTGGATATTAGATTCTTATAAAATATATGATTTGTCAGAATTCTTTTTGTTTGTAGTAGTTTTTCTTTTAGATATAGAATTATCATCTGCCAATAGTGATAACTTTTATTCTTCCTTTTTAATTTGATACTTCTAATTTTTTTTTTGTGTGTGGCTAATTGCATTGACTAATGCCTCCTGTACATTGTTAAATAATAATGGTAGTGGTGTGTTCCTTACTTTTGTGGGCATGAGGCATCATTCTGTGGATTTACTGTGGTTATTTAGCCAAACCCAAACCATGAAACTGTTAGCTTGTTGTCAGTTATTCACCACTGTTTGGCAATTTGATGAGCACTTTTATGTAAGTCCTTTCTGTGCTTGACATTAGTTCTTTGGATAAATTTCAAAGACTCCTGATACACATTGCCAAATTGTTAGAATATACTTTTATAATGAGTTGCTTTTTATTAGCACTCTATCTGACACACTTTCACATGCAGAAAATAGAAAGGTCCTTGCCCTTTTCCCGTCTCCTGCATTAATAGCAAGCAGAGGGAGCAGGGACTGAGAGGGATGCTTTTGGCTCTTCTGGTTTAGGCATAGGCTGCAAAGGCTGCATGGATCCTAGGGGACTGCTCTTTGTGGTGTTAGAGTTTAGATTAAGAGATTCCTGTGAGTGTGGTGGTGTACACGTGAGGTTAGATGAGCCATGCCACTGTGACTGTCCAGCTAGGACAGAAACTCAGAGCTTGCTGATGCTCACAAAGGGCCTAGGGAGCCAGCTGAGAGGCGTATGCCCGTTTCTTTGAGATGCGCTGTCCTGCTGCAGGTGCTGGGGCAGAGGATCACTTCTGTTGCTAGGCTCATGCCTCTGGAAATCAGCTGAGAAATATGTGTGCCATTTGAGTCAGCAGCCATGGCCAAAACGTAGGCATCTGGAAACCGAAGGAGTGCTAATGCCATTCTTTTTTTTATTGCTTAAAGTATTACAAAGGGTATTACATATGTGTCCTTGCCATTCTTACTGAACACTTCCTACCGCATTATGGGCTGTTCTCTCTAATACTTCTATTGTAGACTGGATGAACTATCTGCCGGGGTTCTTGATCCAGCATCTAGAAGGGTTCAGCAATCTGGAGAAGGGCTGTATGTAACTTAATAAAGAGTCCAGAGACGAAGCATAATTTCGAAAGGCATTTGGGGGTCAGAGGAGCTTAGCTAAAAGGAACTAAGTTCTCCTTGTCTCAGGACCCCTTGCTTTTTATTAACACAATTTGTCCTAAGGCAAAGTAGAGATATACACATCAAAGGGTAGAGTTTCCGTATACACAGTCCATTGTCAGATTATCAGGTTTTGGAGAAACTGCCTTCCGCTCTTCAGGTGTTTGGCCAACAGGGGGCAATTACATGTAGATTGAGATGCCCTTAGCTGTCTGGCAGCAAGCAATCATCCTTTTCAGGTTTGGGGAAATGCCTTTTAGCCATTCTCAGATGATTCAGCCCTTGCTGAAATGCTGGAATTGGCTTCTGGCAGATTGGTTTAAAAGTCAGGCACTGTCCCTGGTTTATAAGCAAGCGTTGCTGTGTCTAGTTCCCCTGCTAGTTTTGTAGCACCATTAGCATGCCAACACCTGATGGGCCAAAACAGGTCCATATGCTATTTGTAGTTTGATGAGGTGGTGTGATACGACTTAATGAGAGCTGTTCATTCATTTCTCTCCTGTTTGCTAGACTTTACCCAATACTGCTCAAAATCCTAAGGAAGTATGTGGATTTATTTTTTTCTGATTCGTGTTTGTACAAGTAAAAGCATTTTAAAAGGGAATTGATTTATATTAATTGGTTTTTCACATGACCAACATTATTGAAAATTGACATTTTCTAATTGGAAAAGGTCTTGAAACCTTGTCTTAGTCCTCATTATTACAGTATTTTGTTTACCAAGTTATTGAAGTAGAGAGAGAGGAAAGTGTTCCTAGAGTCTTGAAGTGTTTCTTTGTTTCTTGGATAGGATTTTAATTTGATAGTCCAGAACCTGGAAGCTGAAAATTATAATATTGAATCTGCAATAATTGCCATGCTTCAGATGAACCAGGGGAAAAGAAATAGTAAGTCCATGATTGATATTTATAAGCTTTCAAAATGATTGTATTGGTGATTTTTGATCATTATTGGTGATTTCTCAAATATTGATGTTGAATCAAGTCACAGGCAGTAATTATTCTGTCCTTTCCCTCACTCATTCAGCACTTTACTGGGTTCTCGTCCTGCATCTGGGAGAGTGTAGTCTGGGGTGGGGATGGGGATGAGGGTGGTGGAGACTGCTGGGGGGATGCGTGAAAAGGCCACCTAACCCAGTTTTGGAGGGATGGTGGGATGGAGAGTGTCAGGGAAGACTTTATCCTTTTAGAAATAAGATTTCTTCATAAAATCAAAATGATAATTAAAATTGAATGGAGAGAAAAATACCTTATTTTTCTAATGGAAATATTTAGATTGCTAATATCTGTCAACTGGTGCTAATTCAGAATTATTTTTACTTGAACTGAGTTCAGTTTTGTGACACAGAGGAAAGCAAAAAGATGTGATGTCTTAACAGTTTTCTCAAATCATTTATTTAAAATGATTTCCAGCCCAGCAGGTGTTGCTCAGTGGTTTGGCATCAACCTATGAATAGGAACTCACAGTTTGATTCCCAGTCAGGGCACATGCCCAGGTTGCGGGCTCGATCCCAGTGTGTGGTGTGCAGGAGGCAGCCGATCAATGAGGTTCTCTCATCACTGATGTTTCTATCTCTTTCTCTCTCTCCCTTACTCCCAAATCAATAAAAACATATTTAATAAAATGATTTCAAGACTTATTATGTGCCAGATACTGTTCCTGGCATAGTTTTCTATGTGATGGGGCATTTTATTATCCACTTTATATATATGCTGTGCCTTTTTAGAAAGCAATAGATAACTTGGTCTTTGTGACTTTAAAACAGCACTGTCCAGTGTCTGTGCTGTCTAGTATGTTGTGTATTTGACATTGGCTGAGACTGAAGAATTAAATTTTAAATTTAACTTAAACGGTCACATGTAACTAGTGGCTCCTCTACTGTATGGCACATCTTTAGAGCCTGTTTTATTTTTGGCTGCAAATGAAAAATTTCCCCCTAAACATTTATATTAGGAAGTGGTTTGTCTAATTAAACAAAACAGTCTGCTGGTGGGAAGCTGATGGCAAGGTTGGCCAGCAGGTTGCTGTTAAACTTACCTTCCAAATTTTACCAGTATTTTCCCTTGTGTTCCTTGCTGTATTGACTTGATATTAGGAAACTTGCTCTCCAAATGACAGTGAACGAGGGACCCAGGTACTTTTGGAGTCATTGAACAAGAATCGAGTTGTGTAACTCTTGGGTTCTCAGTTTTAATAAAATGTCTTTCTTTGGAAGATGCAGAGGAGAACCTCGAGTCCAGTGGCCGAGTGCTGAAGCAGAGTGGTCCTTTATGGGAGGAGGGTGGCAGTGGCTCCAGGATCTTTGGAAATCAGGGCTTAAATGAAGGCAGGACTGAAAACACTAAGGCGCAGGCCAGCCCTAGTGAAGAAAACAAAGCAAATAAAAACCACCTCCCAAAGGTATGGAAGAGGGTTGCAAGGGCAAAGGGTGGGCTGCTGTAATTTGGTGGCAGTGGTGGGAACGTGGAGCTCATTTTAATGTGTCATTTTCTTTCAATTGATAAAGTAGTAATTGTAGGAACTATGGGGAGTGCATAAAGGTGTAGCAGGAAACGGAATGAAGATCTCGTTTGTCCTGTGTGGTGTACGCAGTGATGATGAAGGAAGTGCATGCTGGACTTGTACTCTGGACACATCCAGCCCTTCCCACCTAACGCCACTGTGTGGATGGCTGCTTTCCACGGGAATTCACGCTATCACATCCCATTTTTATAAATACCGTCATCTGCAGTGAACAGTTGCATAGTTTATTTGTATGAATCTGTATTTTTGCATTGCTTTCCTGGCTAGAGTCCCAGAAGAGGGCTTGACAGGTTAGGGGGCATGGATATTTGAAAATTTTAAAGGCTTCTTGGTAAATTGTCAAGAAGTTGTACATCTTCCTCCCCCCATGCCCACAGGTAATATATGGCACCATTTTAAGGACTTTCACAAGAAGTTCTGAGCTCAGAATGCAGCATGAGGTAAAAAGCTACAGGCAGAGGCAAAAATGCGGCGTGAGTTAGGATCACCTGAGCATTAAAGTGCAGAGGAAGGTGACCTGTGGCCTGTTTGCGGGTTGTCTCCTTGGACCAGGGCTCATGTTTTTTAGGTCATTTTGAATTGGTTTATGAGGAGAATGGGATTGATTGTGTTTGCTAGCTCAGCAAGGGGCTATACATTGAAATGGAAATTTGAGCAGTAATGGAAAGCACATCCTGTTTGGTCTGGTAGGTGGGTTTTCTCTGTTCTGTCTTGTTGAAAGCGGCTGTGCTCTTTGCCTCTGTCAGCCCCTCACCTCCTTCTGCAGCCGGCTCACCCAGCACCTTCTCTTTCAGGTCACAAACAAGCAGCGCCGAGAGCAGCAGCGCCTGGAGAAGAAGAAGCGGCAGGAGGAGCGGCACCGTCTCAAAGCCCTGGAGAGCAGGAGCAGCCACGGGGACAAGAGCGAAGCGGAGGCCAGTGAGCAGGTCACCCTGGTGAAGACCTTTGCTGCTCTCAACATCTGACGCCACTGCCTGCGGGAGTCGTAAGAAGCGAGTGGAAGTGGCGTGCTGTGCCCCGGCATCCCAGGAGGCGGGCCTTCGGACCACCCACAGAACCCACCCAGGAGCGCACCCTCGGAGTTAGTGTCCTCAGGCCGCCTCTTTTTCTGTCAACGTTTTGTTAGTGATGTGTTTTATTTTATGAAAGTTCAGTGAAGCCACTCATGTTCTGTGATTAAAAGGTTGAGTTTTAGGGTGGAGAGTAGATCAGGGAAAACCTTTTAGGTATGGTTTGATTTGTTCTGAAAACAAAAGAGTTCTGTGACCCTGGGATCTTCCCTTAACCTTTGGGGTGAGTTTTACTGAAATTGTTCATGAAGTGGTTTAGATTAATTGTTAGAAATGCAGAATGACAAGTTCCCTTTGATTCTCTTTCATTTTCAAACAGATATGTAAATATACAGGATAGTGTGTAAATGATCTGCAACTCAGGAACGTGTTTAGGTTTATTTTTCTTTTAATCCAAGTTAATCAGAAAATACTTCAGGAAGTGTTCTCCCAAAGTGATGTGAGGGAGGGTGTGGCCTGCAGTCCGGGGGGAGTAAATTGCCTCTCTCCTTCCCGACCTGATGTCATTTCAGACGTGACGCAGGTGCTGCTAGTTCCTTTACACTCAAGCCATACGATACATGCGCCTGACTGTTAATTAAGCCTGGGCTTTGCTGCAAAATCGATAGTGTTGTTGAGCTTTCGGTACTTGTTTTTGGAAGATGGGAAGATAATACAGTTCTGGGATTCTGACAGTATGGAGAGTTGTAAAGGGAGAAATTGAGGGGCCTTTGAGTGTTTGCCTGGGAAGAGTCTAAAAGAGTTATTTGACTTGTAGGAGAGAATGCTGGAAGAATATCTAAGGTTTTTCACCTTCACATTGTAAATAACTCTTTCCTTCCCCACTTTTCTAGACTTAGCTGCCTTCAGAAAAATAAAAGGTAACTTGGCCTGTTGCTAAGTTTTTTAGTTTTGTGAAAATGGAATCCCATAAAATGCTGCATTGATTTCTCTTTATACAAAACCCTTTGGGATTCTGACGTTGGCAGAACTCTCCAGCGCCCATCCCAGACTGTCAGGGAGTTGGGTGGGACCAGCAGGGCAGAGAGTGTGCTTTGGCTGAGGACTCTGGGTGACTCCGCAGTTCTGAGCGAGACAGATCTGAGCAGTGGAGAGCCGTCATTCTTAAAACCGATTTAGGTGGATGTGAGCTTTAAAACTAACGTCAGAAGTGGCCAGTCTTGGACAGTCTTTGCCTTTGGGGGACCTAATATTTCAACAAATAAGGTATGCTGAGTCAGAAGGTGAATTGTTACCTCCCCCACCTCAGATCTCAAAGGCCCGAGGCAAGGAAGCTGTGAGAGTACTGACCTGTGTAGGCATATCGCCTGGGCTGGCCCTGGATTCATCCAGTTGTCTGTCAGGGTGGTTTGCTTTCTTCAGATTAATGATGTTTTAAATTTTTGCTTTTTTTCTTCGTGGTTGGAGCATCAGTTGTCTCTAGGAATTGCTCCCAGGACATTATCTTCCTGGAACAATACATCGTAGTACTTAGCAGGCTGAGAGGCTGCACAGTCTTTTCCTTGTACCTTGTGGAGTCCTGAGTGTGAGCGCTAGAGCTCAGTGCAGGTGAGGGCCGGGTCCCTGCGGCCTCACTGTCCCCACGGGTGAGGTCAGGGCTTTCACCTCTGGGCAGGTTCCTCACTCTAGCTGAGCTGCTCTGAATGGACATTCCTTGTCTGTTTTGTGCTACGAGAGGGGGAGACCACATTGTCTCAGAACAGGCAAGATTGTGTGCCGCAAATTCAGCAGAATTAGGAGTCAGAAATAGCGTAAGGGAGACCCATTGTCCGAAGTGGTAGAATTGCTTTATTTACTTGGTTAATGAAGGTGGCCTTGGGTGCTACGGGTCTTTAGAAGTTTTAGAAGCTGCTAAAAAATTACCCTATATAATAAAACCCTAATATGCAAATCGACTGAATGGCAGAATGACCAGTCGCTATGATGTGCACTGACACCAGGGGGCAGACACTCCACGCAGAAGCTGCCCCCTAACCCCCTAGAGCAGTGATGGTGAACCTATGACACGTGTGTCAGAGGTGACATGTGAACTCATTTTTTTGGTTGATTTTTCTTTGTTAAATGGCATTTAAATATATAAAATAAATATCAAAAATATAAGTCCTTGTTTTACTATGGTTGAAAATATCAAAAAATTTTGTGACACGGCACCAGAGTTAAGTTAGGGTTTTTCAAAATGCTGACACGCCGAGCTCAAAAGGTTCGCCATCACTGCCCTAGAGGGAGGCGACCAGCGGCAGTTGTGGCAATCGCGGGGGTGGAGTGCCCAGCTGCTGCGATGGGGGGTGAGGGGGGACCTGATCTGATGTTGGGATGGGGGAATATCCATAGGAGGGTATGCCCTTGAATTAGCAGGACCATAAAATTTAACCCTAATACTACCATTAGCTGGAGAGATTAGAATACTGAGGCTACAAATCTGCAGTTTATTCAGCTTGGTGGCACTGGCCTTTCTCCTTTTGCATTTGTAAGATCGAGGTGGTGGGGAGCAAATGCCCTTCCCGTTGGATGCAGAGGCTTAAGTGCCAGCCTCATGTGCACCCCCAGGTCGCCGGCAGACGCTTCCGTGACCAGGGGCCGTAACCAGGGGATGGGCTGGCTGAGGACTGGGCTCTTCCTCCCCATGCAGCCACCAGGGCCGTGAGCCACAAAGACTGGAAGTGCACCCCCGTGGCCTTCCACTTGTGACTCCTCCCGAGGCCCTGTCCGCCCTACCCTGCGCTCACCAGCAGCTAATTGGTCCCCCCAACCTCCCATGGCCCTTCCCCCTGGGAAGGAATGGGGCTCCCTCTCCAGAGAGGGAGCCCTCAATTGGGCCCCCCCACTCCAGACCCTGACATCTCCTGAGGTGTCCCGGATTGTGAGTGACCATGTCATCTACACTAATAAAAGAGAAACATGCAAATTGGTGTCACTCCGCTACTCCCACCAACCAATCAGGATGCGTATGTAAATTAACCTAAGGAAGATGGCGATTAATTTGCATATGCAGGCGCGGAGTGAAGACTGAAGATGACTGAAGACTGAAGAGGCTTGGCTTCTCCGCTGCAGCTGGAGCAGAGAAGCCAAGCCTCGCTGCTGCGGCCGGACCAAAGGCCTGGGTCCCGGGTGCCGGAGGGAAACTGGTGCTGGCAGCCAGGGGAACGAAGGCGTATTGTGTGAATCTTGGTGCAGCGGGCTTCTAGCCGATATATATAAAGAGCCAGGGTCCGTAACGTCCAAAATGACCGAAGGGATGATCAAGTGCCAGGCTGCATATGCAGCAGGCTCGGGTGGGCAGGGACTGGCGAGTGGGATGAACTGCTGACCTCTCGATCCCTCTCCCCTGCCTCCTGTGGACTGCCAAGGGGACTGTGGGCCCCAGGATGCGGCGGTGGGAGGGGGCCATGAGCCCTAACCGGGGCACAGTGGAACTCTGGGTCTCATGCAATCGGGGGTGTGGCCGGCCTAAAACTGGACTCTGACAGGAGGGAGCCCCATTCCTTGCAGAATTGGCTGTTGGATAGCTTGCTGACAGTGGCCTGCCAGCCAGGAATCCCATTCACCTGCAACCCGTACCCCGGCGATCAGGCAGGGAGAGACAGTTAGGGGCAATTAGGTCGGCAGGCGAGAGCAGTTAGGGGCAATCAGGCAGGCAGGCGAGAGCAGTTAGGGGTGATCAGGCAGGCAGGCAGGTGAGCGGTTAGGAGCCAGCGGTCCCAGATTGTGAGAGAATGTCTTACTGCCAGTGGGAACTGGCAAGTGGGCTGAATAGCTGACCTCTTGGTCCCTCCCCCCAGCCCACAGGCTCTGATGGATCAGCGATGGTGAACAGGGGAACCAGGGTGGGTGGCGGGAGGACCGGGCTAGCTGTCAAGCTGTTGGGATCCCCAGCTCTTCCCCAGCTGCGACTTCACCTCCATGCGTGTGCACCGGGTCAGCCACTGATGGAACGCGCTGTCTGCTTGGGGCCTCTCATGCTGCTGTTGCTGCTGGGGCTTGCAGTGCAACCTACCTGCCCTGGTGGCGGAGGCGGTGTTCAGCCTGGGGACTGGCAAATGGGCAGAAAATGGCCCTGATCGCAGGCTAGACCTAGGGAACCTGCCCGCACGATTTCGTGCGCTGGGCCTCTAGTAGCTTATAAACTGCTACATCCTATACACAGTTAAACAAGGAAGGTGGCTTCTGCAGTATTTGAAGAGATCTGTGGCTGCTTAATCCTAATTCATCAGAAGAACCTCCAAACTGCCCACATCCTGTTTATTCTTCATGGGGATGAACACGCATTCCTGTATATTGGGAACAGTCTCTTAGATTTAAAAATCAAAACCTGGCAAGGCTACTCTAACACTGAAGAAACAGGATGATGCAGTGATGACATGCATGGACTCTGGCTTGCGCATTTTGTGGTTAGTCCTGATTCTGACACTTATAACTGTGTGACAGAGTCAATTAACTTCTCTCTGCTTCAGTTTTTCCACCCATAAGATGGGGAAAATGGTACTACTGCCTCAGAAGGATCTCGTTATGTACTATTTTTTATAATCAGGGCAAAAAAATGTAGCTGCCCATACAACAGCAAGATGCTTTTCACCTGTATGAAAAATATGGTCACTGGTGCATGCAGCATCCCAGATTGCGAGAGGGATGTCCAACTGCCAGTTTAGGCCCAACATCCCCCGAGGGGTCTCAGATTGCAAGAGAGCGCAGGCCAGGCTGAGGACGGTGCCTCCAGCCTCCCGTGCACTAATTTTGTGCACCGGGCCTCTGGTTATTTATAAATTACCTAATTCTGATAGCAGGCTTCAGCATTTGTGGGGTAAAATAACAATGGTTTTAACAACTAATCAAATGGCTTCACTATTTTCCTTTAATTACTGTTTCATAGCTTTCCAGTTATAATTGGTCTGTGTTTAGTATGCTAATTATTAGTAACTAGAGGCCCGGAACACGTGCCGGTGGGGTCCCTCAGCCTAGCCTAGGGGATCAGGCCAAAACCGGCTCTCCAACATCCCCCGAGGGGTCCCGGATTGCAAGAGGGCTCAGGTCAGGCCGAGGAACCCCACTGGTGCATGATTGGTACCAGGGAGGGACTGCAAGAGGGCTCCATGGCGTGTCCGGCCCGTCTCGCCCAGTCCTGATTGGACCCCAGCAGCAAGCTAACCTACTGGTCAGAGCGTCTACCCCCTGGCGATCAGTGTGGGTTATAGTGACTGGTCCAACGGTTGAACGCATGGCTGTACACTTAGCATATTAGGCTTTCTATATTATAAAAACCCAGTGGTGCTAACACCATAACGACCAAAGACCAGTCACCAGGAGGCTGGGTGAGCAACGAGGCGCACGCAGGTGGGCAGGGCTGTATGCGTAGTGAGGCGCATGCGGGTTGGCGGGGACTTGACTCTGGGTCTTGCGGCACGGCAGGCTTCGGGGGAGTCCCGTGGCGTGGCAGGGTCTAGGGTCCCAGGTCTCGCACGATTTCGCATGCTAGGTCACTAGTTATTATATAAGACTAGAGGCCGGTGCACGGCACCAGCAGGGTCCCTTGGCCAGGTCTGCAGGGATCGGGGAAAACTGGCTCTCCAATATCCCCCAAGGGGTCCCGGATTGTGAGAGGGTGCAGGCCAGGCCGAGGGACCCCACCGGTGCACAATCGGGGCCGAGGAGGGACCATGGGAGGTTGGCCGCTGGGGAGGGACCATGGGAGGGCTCCAGGGCGTGTCCAGCCTGTCTCGCCCACTCCCGATTGGCCGGACCCCAGCAGCAAGCTAACCTACCAGTCAGAGTGTTTGCCCCCTAGTCAGCAAGCTAACCTACCAGTCAGAGTGTTTGCCCCTAGTCAGTGTGCCTCATAGCAACTGGTTGAACAAACGGATACTTAGCATATTAGGCTTTTATTATATAGAACGGGGTATGTGTATCCAACTTTAGTGATA